CCGATGGTATATATGAGAAGGAGTCATCCGAGACTGTGCGCGTCGTAAAAGGTGCCGCGGACAGCACCAGATTTATTTCCGAAGAGCAACGTGATGTAAGGAGAGAGAGCACGATCCATGTCGATGGCACGTCGTCGAGCAAGGAAGAGCACCCTGCTCGCGTATCCAGCCCGTCGCAGCGAAGACTCGGTAGACTCGGCGATTCCGCGTGGAACGGCGAATTTATTTACGAAAAATCGCAAGACGACGTGAAGAAACATCCCTCGGACGTCACCGTTGTCCGCAGAACGGAGAAGCATCACGATTCCGTCGATGTTGAAGATGTCAGCGAAGAACAGAACGTTTCGAGCGTCTCTGAGTCGGTCTCCGCATCTTACATCGTCGAATACGCCATTTCCAGCGACAAGACAAATGTCGAGAAGGTCACGTCGGTATCCGAGGCGATCTTGGAGGAAGATGGCCCAGAAGATAAAATCGCGCGCAGTCCCAGGAGTCCGGAAAGACAACCGAAACTAGACACGACCTCGCGCTGTTACAAGCCTGGCCAGTCTGCCTGGGACGGCACGTTTGTTCATGAGCGACCGGTAGCACCCGACAGTGGTCGAAGACCGAACAGACGTACGGTAAAAACAGTCGATATCCGAGATGTTTCAGACGACAATTCGATCAACGAGGCGGACATCATAAACACCACTTACATCGTTGAACATTCATCGAGTCAGCAGAGTTTCTCGGATGTCAGGGACGCCAGCGTCACGTCCACAATGTACGAGACAGTCGTTCGCGAGGGGCAGCCTGTTGAAACAACGATTAGATTTGATGGAGATACATCGCGAAGTAAAGTTCCAACAACGGGACGTCGGACTAGTCCGTCTCCACGACCTACAAGCCCGGAGAAGACACCGAACGACAGAGACCTACGGAGTACCAAACCCGGATCATCGACATGGGACGGAACTTTCGTGCAGGAAAAGAAGCGACCACCTAGTCGAGAATCCATTGATAGCAGACTACCGGACAAGCCTCGACCGGCTGACAGCAAAAAGACGACACTCGTGGATACGTCGAAGAAACACGTTAACGAGACCGCTATCGATCTCCGAGATGTCACGCGGGATGTATCTAGCACGTCAGAGATCGTGGAAAGTTCCGTCGTTGTGGAGCAATCGAGGACGCACGAAAGTTACACGGATTCCTCCAGTCTCGATTTCTCGACGGCTTCCGTCGAAACTGTCATTATTCGCGACGGTCAGCCGGTAACTACGCAAAAAACAGTGACTATTCAAGAAGGCCCTCGTAGCCCCGTGAAGAGCCTGCCTGGCAGTGACGTAATAACTACTACCGACGTTAAAGAGACCACTGTTAAAAGCCTCGAGAAGAAGGAGTCTCGCGCGGACGATAGAAGTTACCGACCTCTGAAGCCGGGCTCGTCGACGTGGGACGGATCGTTCGTGTACGAGAAACCAGAGGAGAAGAGACCGAGCGATAGGAAGCCACCGAAAGTTATATTTGGAACCGTGGACAAACCAAGTCCAATTAAAGAAAAACCGACCGGCACTGTTGATCACAGAACAGTTACAATATTGGACACGTCGAAGGACGTAACGAGCGCTGCCGATTTTTCCACGAGCTCTGTTACAATTGAACGAACAACCGACTCGGAGACACGCGATTCTTCAAATATATCGAAAATTTTCATCAAAGAAAGCGCAGGAGGTAAAGTATGTGAAATCGATTATGAGAAGCCGAGCCAGCTTTTCGACGGAAAACCTACGCCATCGCCTCGACAACGTCCGGAAGACGTTAAGGAGCCAAAACGCGAAAAGCCGCAAAAGGGTCCGGTGGACAGAACACATCGACCATCGAAGCCAGGCTCTTCCACCTGGGACGGATCGTTCGTCTATGAGAAACCAGAAGAGAAAAGACCAGGAGATCGAAAGATGCCAAAAGATACATCTGGAACTGTAGATAAGCCAAGTCCGATTAAAGAGAAACCGATTGACATTGCTGATCACAAAACATCTATTACGATACTGAACACATCGAAGGATATATCGAGTTCTGCCGATTACGCTACGAGCTCCGTCACGGTCGAGCAAACGTACGTCGCCGATTCGAAGATACGTGACTCGTCAAATATATCCAAAATTTTCATTAAAGACAGTTCGGGGGATAAAGTATATCCAATCGATTATGAGAGACCGAGACAGTTCTCCGACGAAAGGCCTAAACCGTCGCCTCGACAACGTCCGGAAGATACTGTGGAACCTAAAGACGAAAAGCCGCAAAAGAGTCCGGTGGACAGAACGCACCGACCGTCGAAGCCGGGAGCCTCCACCTGGGACGGTTCTTTCGTGTACGAAAAACCGCAGGATTCGCGAAAGAAACCGACAGACGATGAACCAACCAAGGTACCGAAGAAACCGGCAGACCAACGAAAACCGATTGAAGAAGGACACAGACCGGTGGTTCAGAAAGAAAAACCAATACAGACTCCGATTTCGCGAAAGCCAACGGACAAGGGAACGCAGAGGGACGTAACCGAGATCAAATATGTCGAAGATGTCGCGGATATCACACGAGCGGATATCACGCGTACATCCGAGATGCTTCAGCAATCCTCTTATGTAAGCGACCAGTCTTCGAGATTCACTTCTGTGCAAGACGTGCACGATGTTAAGGACGAGCGTGTCATCACTGAATTTACGACGGACACGCGCAAGGATGTGGTGAGTAATTGCAAGACGTTAAAATGTTTCTTTATTAGCTGTCCACGGGAAATTGCTAAGACTACAACTCATCCGGTTTTCCGGGACAATACTTAAATGAAAACGCTATCTCCGTTTCAATATTTGTTTTTGCAAGTATAGTCAAATAATGAAAACTTAAACTTTCTACTCTTATCGCTGGTATACTTGAGCTCCCGATGCATTGACTTCTCAATAATCGGCAACGATCGGATGTCGGGTACAGTGAGCAGATTTATAAAAATCTTATCGAGTTACTTCGAGCTCAGTCCTTGCGGAAGAGGCTCGAACGATACTTTCACTTCCAAACCGGGCGAAGGTTGTAGGTTCACGCGTGTGGCGCCGTTGAAAATAAATCTGACGTAATACGACGGTTCGTAGAAGGACGGGAAGGGTTAAGTGCAGGAGAAAAAAGGGAGTTCGTTTTGTTAAACCGCCTGCGTTTGAAACAGATAAAATGTGTATATATATATATATATATAATATATATTGCTTTCCTGATACATACGAATTTCTGCACGGCTGAGCCCCGGATTCATCGAACTATTGCAAAGTGAACCGAGCGGAAATCGATATTTCACACATGAGAAACGATTCTGCTCGACATACCGCACCCCAATCGTTATATCGTAATCGTCTTAAATCGTCAATATGTTATTGCATAATACAGAAATTGATGACATACATTCCAATATTATCATCGCTCGCGACACGAGATTACCGTGATAACTTCTATTTTCGATTAAAAAGTGAACTTTGATATTTATATGCAGAAGTTATCTTTGAGATAGACATTAGCACGATCGCTTTATGGATCAGATTAAATACTAAAGGCGGCATCTTTTTTTTTCTCGTCTTATCCGAATATCAAGCTTCAAATGTCATGTCAAATAGTATTATGATAGAAAACATTTAACTATAATTTAATTATTTGTTACAAGAGAATACATGCGAAGAGAATTATCAAAAGTATTCACATTTCTAAAAAAAAATCTTAAAATTGTTTCTGCCGCGACAGAAACATGTAAGCGTAATCACTTACAATTAGGCTCAATCGAGCGTTTGCAGAGCGATAATAATTGCACATCCAATATGAGCAAATTCGGTAGTGATGTCATCGCTCAATGTAACCCGCTTAATGCACGACCAATTGAATTTTATGCATGTTCCGCCTCGCTTATCACGGTCGCCTTGTTCAAGTGCTATAGAAATCTTACAACTAGTTAAAAGATGCCGCACTGAGAGACACGTATACATTGACACTTATCGTCGGTTATAGTACAGATAGCAACGACCGATAACGTTAAATAAAATAATAATAGTATAACAGTATAGGTAACGGGTATATCGGTTTTTAATAATACCCTGTATACACATCCGCTGTATATTTTGACATGCTATAGAACTCAATCGATTTGGTAGGTAAATAACAAAATTGTGGCATCAACGGATTTTACACTGCGACCGCGTCGCTTCGATTGAAAGTTACGCGTTTTCGTAGAAATGTGGATCAATACCGAACATAAAGATAAGTGCCACAGATGACACTTTGGACTTTATTGCAATAGCGATAAGACATTAGTGTTCCTAGAAGGTTGAAATTTAAAGTTTCTAGCAGAAATAACACCTAATTTTCATTCAATTTCTTTCAATTTAAAAAATTATTTTTTTAATAGAAAAAAAAGCTTCTCTATCTTTTCGGTGTGTTCTGTTTTCTTATAATTAACTAAATAAAAATTGAGTCACGCCTCATAAAGTCTTATGATTAATGTATGTGCGTTGCTTATTGAAGATACAGCAAGGATATTTTTTTTTTATTATTAACGCGGCAGTCAATTTCCTAACTGACAATGCTCGGAACAATCTAAAACTTCATGTTCACGTAGTATCTCGCAAATATTGGGATCGGCTCTTCGAAGTTCACGTAATCCAACATTAGTCGGAAATGTCGGAATATTCAATGCTTTACTCACACAAGGATAATTGAGATTGTGCTGGTAGTTTGTGATAGGATCGCACATTTACACTCGCAGCGGGAATTAAAAATAGACATTCGTAACTTATTTCGCATCACACGGATAGTTCGTTTCTTTAAAACAGCTCGTTCCAATTCTCGCACCCGTAACTTTACTCCGAGGCCTCGAGATGATCGATAAAGTGCTTTAGTAAGCTCAGCACATGTGTTTCCCTGTAAGTATTACTTCATCTACCACTCTGTGAATGGATATATCCAACAGATATCTTCTCTTCAGAAATCGTAGATCAGAAAGACGCTCCCGGGATATATTTGTATTATGATTGCAATTTTTATGACGTCGCTATTAAAAACAATTCATCCCGACGTTACGTAACACAGACACCCCCGTTGTTTTTGATTGTTCAACATGCAAACAGCTATGGAGAAGCGTGGCCTTGCATCGAGACACGATGATACATATCGTATACGCGAACACGCGTGATCGCGTTTTCTCGGCGCGATTCACTATTATTATTTTACGATGACGCAGACGCGCGCATCGTAAATCTTATCGCGTCACATATTACGGCATCGATAAATGTGATATTTTATTAACGGCGTGTAATCATGTTGATCCAAATGTTTTTAAGACGGAAAATTTATCAAACTTGTTACTACGAATCAGCGCAGGAGTTTTTAATATGAAATTCCTAGGCATGCAAAATTATACTTATGACGAAAACACGTAAAATTCAAATTATGTAAACGAGCTTCATTATGGGCAACTCTCGATCGTCGAGGAGGGGCAATCAGCTTAAAGACTCAAGCTACTTAAACCGCTAATTAAATGCCAAAACTTCGTCTAATGTGCTTTACGCGAATTACGTTCGTTAAAAACCAAGCAAAGGATTTAGCTAATAGTATCAGCAAACGTTATTTGCTTCATTGTAGCGTCACAAGTTGAAGAGCGAGCGTGCTTGTGAGTATAATGAGCAGCTTCAACAAATGGAAAATAGACGCGTGAAATTTTTAAGTGCATCCATACAAATGGCACAAAGCAATGAGGAAACTCGGTTTACAACTAAAACATCGAAACCTTGGTTGAAATAACATTTTCCGCATTAAATTTCTTGTAGATTTACAACGTGTTTCATTAACATTAAGTTGATTATTAATTTAATGATATATTACATTTTCAACTTTAGTATAAAATTGCGTTTCAGGAACGAATAGTGATCTGCGTGTGATTCGAAAGCACGAAGATGAAATGTATGAAATTTACAGAAATTATTATTAATAAGCATAAAATCTCGTCCAATAATAAAAAATTGTCAACTTGTATTTATTTCGTACATCGATCGACATTTACTTATTGAAGTACAGAACGTAGCAATTGTTCAGAAAAATCGTGGAAATTACAAGCAAAAGAGGTTTTTTATTTCATCAAAGGTAGAGAGTATAAAGTCGGTTAAAGTGTAGTTATAAAATCAAATTCTCTGTCTAGATCATTTGCATTGTCGATAGTATCGCTCATAATCTATTTGTGGGAGTGACAGCGATGTCGTTAACGAAACTAAATCGCAAAAGTACGGTTCGACGGTTCGACAAGCGGGTTACACGATACGCTGTAAGCGTGCATATAAAAGCCGTATACACCTATCTCGTGTTACCTGCATTCCGTCGAACTAAGCATTACCGGCGTTCCTAATCTCGTTCATGCTCGCGGCGCTCATTATGCAGCACGTTTGAAGCTCGTAATGAACGCCCGCGGAAAAACGAAGCCGTATTCACGTCGTTATTGCGTCTCAAAGTCTTTACTTGAACGTATTATTAAGGCGCTTATGATTAGCATACCAATCGAATATTATAGATCTGTTTTTTTTTTAATAATTGGTATGACATTGACTTTAGGCAAATCGACATAATGTCACTGTGTAGTCGTCATCCGTTGCGGGCAAAGTCTTGGCAAAGTTTTCAAGTGGTAGCCATAACTGATCATTTACGTTTGACATTTCCTAACAGTTTATATGCCACATCTACGCGAATGCTAGAAAGTACTTATAGTACGATCCAAGTGTTATTTATGCAACGCTAATGCTGCAGCTATAAAATTCTAGATATTATTAATTTATAGAAGCGTGATAATAGTCGACGTTATAATCGTCACAATTAACAGTGTAGTTTGCACTGTGCGTGAAAGCGTCATTAACAATCACTAGCAAAATGATAATCATTACAAGTGTTGACCGTATTAAGATATTAATTGGCTTATTATCTTCTGATATTTCTTTAGATCTTGCTATCAATTAGTAAAATCGAATATTTAAAAGACGATGAAAAGATTTTGTTGTATTTTTCAGAGAGATGTTACCGAGTCAACGAAGAAATTTATCGACAAAGAGCAGGTGACTAGCATGGTAGCGCGGGATGTCGTTGACGACACCCGATTCGATACCATCACCAGCCCAGCATCCCGATCTCCAGCGGATTCCACGAGGAAACCATCGCCGGAGCGGCCCGGTTATCCTCGTGGAATACCTGGACTCAGGAAGGACGATCGAACGAAACCGATTCCAGCCGCTGGAAAACCCAGTAGACCTTTGCAGCGCGAAAGAAGTCCTCAGCAGCCAGCAGAACATGGCAGGTGAATAAAAAAAATCCAGCTTTTCATATTAAATTTGGTGGGGGGCAGAGGGTCGGTGCGAGCCAAACGCAGGTATTCGTGCGAAAATATCCAATGTGAAACTTTTTATCGAATTTATAAATCAATCTTCAAACGTTTTGACCTATTGCAGTCTTTACATGAAATTTTATAGACTATAGACTCCTCTCACTGAGGATAATCCGAAAATGGGTCGAAACGTTTGAAGATTGATTTCAAGCACTCTTAGGAAGAATCTTTATGTGTTTTGATAAAAGAACTTTGTTGAGGCCAGTAAAAGAGAGGGACATATCTAGATCCTGAAGTGCATGTTTGAATTGTTGAGAAAATTTAGGAATGTACGGTACATTGAAAAATTTTTTCCTATCAGTGTTATCTATAATATTGTTAGTGTATGTCTGTACCTGACTGTGAAAAATCGATTTGAGACGTCTATGGAATGTAGCGAAAATTAGAGGAAGTGAGTAACTATTCTGTAATAGAATGTTGATGACCAACTCCAGATTCTTCTGGTGATATCTTGGATGAGAAAGTAAGACTGCATGGTCAGTAAGACACAAAATGGTATCTTTTTGCGGAAGAGAGGGTGACAGGACTCAAAATTCAAATATCTTCCGGAGAACGTTGGTTTCGGATACTAGTTAAATTCAATATAATTGTCTCCGATAATAATTGCTGTGTCAAGAAAATTCAATCTTCTGTCTGTTGAATGAATTGGAAACATCTAAAGTGAAATTTTTCATAGAAGAAGGTATAGCGAGAGCGATGTCGTCTACGTACCCATCTTATGTAAAAAGGAGAAACAAAATTAAAGTCTTTATCGCCCTACTCTCCAAATCTTGTACGGTAATGTGCGTAACAATCGGTGACAATGGAGAGCCTATGGGTGTGTCAAAGGTGTGCTGATAAAATATGTTGTTAAAAGAAAAGAAAGTTGATTTAAGTATGAACCGAACTGCCCTCATAAATTCATCTCGAGGGATTGAACAGCGTTTCTCTATATAATACTATCTTCGAAATACTATTCTCGACCAGCGCCAACGGTATATTGGTGAAGAGAGAGACTATCATCCAACGAAATCAGATCATGAGTCTCGCCAATATAAAGTCTGTTGAGTTTGTTCACCAAGTCAAAGCTGTTAAGAATATGACTTTGTGCTTCCGGAATGGCAGATTAAATGATATCATGTAAAAAGGAAGAAAAAGTTGTATTGTAAAAAGTGTCATATGTAAAAAGGAATAAAAAGGAAGAAAAATTTTCCATATTGTTTTTGAACGATTCGTATTTCTTAAGAAAATATCTGACAAAACTGGTGAGAACAATAAAACAGCAATAATTTATAACTTGATTATATTGATCTCGCAGACCTTCCGAAGTCCGGCCAAAGTCACCTGAAAAGTCTCGAGATTATACATCACCGACTAGGAAACCGCAGCCAGCGGCTGGCAAGCCGAGCCGACCCGAAGAAAGACCTACAGCACCTAGAAAACCTGATAAAGAATCTGGACCCACGAAACCGACAGAGAAAAGGCCGGCTGCGGAACCTAAATCTAGTCGATTCCCTGAGAAGTTTGAAAAACCGAAGAGATCGGAACAGGACAAGCCTAAACGAGGGGGTCAAAGTCCAGATTCTCTCGAAGAGGATGTAGTCTATCCTAGATCAGAGCCTGATATATTGTCCAAAATTCCTTTGAAGGAACAGTGCATTTGCGAGCTATGTACTTGTGGGTGAGTCTTTTTGCGGTCAAATATTACATATGTATATAAAGATACAAAAAAATTAATATAGAAAAATAATATAGAATTTAGATTATAGATAATAATATGGAATTTAGATTAGTCATTAGGTCAAAATGAAAATTCTACCGTATCGTCTAATTGTTTCTGCACACACGTCAATTTTAATATTAGATAATATACTGATAAATATTTCACAAGGAATATAATTAACTACTATAGAGCAAGCGCGAATAGGATTTAATTTAACTTATCTGCACGTTCGCTGCAGAGAGGAACACGGTTGACCTACTTCCAAACATTATTAACAAGATCAGAATACAAAACTTGCCGGAGTCGAGATGCAAATTGAGGATAGGAACAGGAGATTGTCTTCAAGGCCATATTTCCTACTCTATTAAACTCATTGCAGCAATCCATTCAAAGCTGTATTTATTACAAATGTATTTACTACGTTGCTTTAACAACTGCATCGGTGCAAAATATATCATTCATTACTTCCAACATATAATCATAATTTCGTTATCACAAAGTTTGCATTCTTTTCATTAGACTATTTTTAGTTATTAAGAACATCACATTATTAATTAACACATTAATTCAACTCTTTCTAAAAATATCAGTAATACATTTATTGATCTTTTAAGAAAGTAGGAATATCACACACGTAGAATTTTTTTATTCAGAAAACACTATATATATGTATGCATAATGAGCAAAAGTAGGACACGAGACAGATCCTTTTACGGCAAGTTGTTCTGGGCGATGGCAAGTCATCGCACGATTCCTTCCTTATTCGAACTTTTCAACCTACGTGACTTTGTATGACGGTGACGAATAGTACAAATTTATCAAACAATTTCAGCAATTGCGTTAAACATATCATTATTTTTTTCAAAATATTTACCATCTCTTGCGAGAAAAGCTGATTATAGAGATTAGAATACAGCATTTCAATTCTTTCAAATCTCTTTTAAATTTTTTAATTTGTTTCAAATTTTAAAAAATACTGTTAAGAGGTAAATTTTTCTAGTATCAATGCAAATTTTATATTTTTTACTTTAGCTTTTACTTTGTGATCTTTTACAATAATCACAATAATTTTGAAAAATATATATATTATTGTATCTAATATGTAATATATATATATGAATATGTATACATAAATTCAGTCTTGTCAGATTGACAATCTTGACCCATATAACGACTCATAGCGCAAATAGATTCGCGAGCGAGAGGTGTAAGTTCGTAGAAAATTAGTCGTGTCGTGGCCGTCTCAAGAAGTAATTGCGGTCGTCTACTCGCAGGCGATTAGTCGTTGGAAATTTCTACGTAAGTCTGCTTAACTCTGAGGTCTGCTAAAACTTCTATCTTCTGGTTTAACGCGGCTCTAAAAGGATGTTCATAATGTGTCATGTAACATGGCTTTAGCCAATAAAAAATACAAAAAATACGCCACTCGACTTTGACCAAGTCTAGCTTTTACGGAATTACGTTTCGCAATATCCGATGGTGAAGAAGAGGAACGAAAAAGAACAATGAGAGCGCTTTTGATGTAGTTACACAGAAGTAGGACATTTCGTGCGAAATCTTGTTGTCCAAATAAGTCAAATTGCTTTGCATAAAATATTGGAAAGATACCGTATTCTTTTTTCCCCGTGCCATTTATGGTAATTAACCGGTTTTACCCCCGTCGAAACATCACCAACAGGATCCGTACCTTTCTCAGAAAGGAGAAAGCTTTTCCCTAATTAATGCGATCAATGTCGAAAGGAACATCATTCGTCGTTCAATAAAATCTCAAGTATATACCCTGAATTATATGAAATTTTAAGCAAAGGTAATTAAAACTTTCAATGCAATAGCATTGTAAAGAACTTAATTGGTATTCTTGTAATCAAGCCGAAGAATCTTTAATTAATCGATATGTACCAATAACAACTCGATTTACGTGAGAAAGCATCTCGTTAATACGTACGCCACGTTGTCTGACTAACAAAGACTCTACTGCCTCACGTGCATGAAACAAGCATTATAGTAAATGTTTAGAGTTAATTAAATTAATTCTCGCTAAACAATTCATATGATTTATTCAGTTCCCAGCTGTAAATAATATTTGTTTTTAATTAATAATATACAATGTGATATTAAGATAATCGGATACGATATTTTATAATGCCGTATTGAGTGAATTACAAATTAATACGGTTACAATTTCGCTCCTATATCCATCGGTAATGCATACTGCAAATACTAACTCCGAGAATAACAAGATATTTAAAATCATAACAAGACCTTTATTCTCATTATAAAAGGATTGATGCCCTTTTGCATCATATTTAAATCTCTATATGCACCTTTGTTACGCTTCAGCTTTATTCGAACGAATACAAAGGCGGATAACAAGAATTTTCTACAAACGCTTTCCTCCCCTTTTATTACTTTTTATTATTATTGTTAAAGTGGTTACATAAACTGTACATGTGATAAGAATAAATGGAATTTCGTTTATATAAGATATGATTGCTACTTTTAAATATAAACATAACTCTTTATAGGTAACTGCTTTCTCTTAAATACGAAAACGCTTCTCAAAGCGTATTTATTAACGTTGTGTCTGTCTCTGAACTCAAACAAATGATGATATTTTAGACGTCATCGTTGCCCGCACAATTTTCCACAAGAACACTTGGAATTTTCTCATGGAGAGTCGGTGCATGCTGTGACTTCCTATCGTCAGGATTACGACGAGAAACGCGTGGAGAAACAAATGAAATATCATCATGAAGATCAATTACGTACGGAGGGTGAATTTATCGGGCAGAGACGTACCGATTATGTGGCTACTAAGGGCGAGAGAGCGCCGGTCAGGAAACCGCAAGATCATCTCAAGCCAGAGGGTGAATTTGTCAAAAGACCAAAGGAAGAGGCGCCTACAAGGGGTGAAAGGGCACCCGTGAAGAAGCCACAGGACAATCTTAGACCGGAGGGCGAGTTTATTGGCAAGCCTCGAGAGGAAGCTCCAAAGTATGGCGAACGAGCGCCGATCACGAAACCGCGGGATAACTTGAAATTTGAAGGAGATTTTGACAGTAAGTTTCGATACTTGCTTCATTCCGTATGCAAACTTATCAATAAATTTTTTTATTCAGAATTTGATCTCACAAATAGATACCCAAAATTTTGTTGTGCACATAAAAATGAACGTCTTCTCGTAAAATTGTCTATACTCGATGTAGAGAAAAGAGTAAATAGTTTTGTTACTTCCTAGCAACAACAACGACGGAGCTGGTTTTCATCGGCACTCCTGGCGAACGACCGGTCCCGATACGTCGTAATACTTATACGAAGCTAGAAGGTGATTTCACTGATGAAACGACAACGCGATCGCAATACATTGACCATCGCAGCATCCAACGCGCTGAGATCATTAAACGAACGGATAATCTCACCGTGGGAGAGGGTGAATTCACGGTTAGTTTTAGCAATAAAGCTTTCGAATTGTGTTTTAAGGTGGCTTCCGCACGTAGGAGCGGTTAGTATGGGTGCTTTGGTACTGACATCTTACAACTATAACATACTAAAATTTCTATTTTTTCTATTTTTGGTCGGTTTATGCAGGAGCCATCTTAATCAGAATATTTGCGATCATATATGTGACTTCCGTTCTTCCATTGTTCTTTAAAACTATTTTACAGGGTACCTCTCATATCAAGGAAGATTTTCAGACTCATGTTATCGAGCGTGAACCTCAGTGGCGACCAAAATATCCTGAAGATACCGATCGATTTTATAGTAAAACAGATATCACTGACAGTACTACGACCACTCAGGAACAATTTCGAACTTTTGATCAGGCAGATTATAAAAGTACTACAGTTATTAGGAGAGCTGACAATCTGAGGCCTGAAGGACCCTTCGAAGCATCGCCTCACACAAAGGATGACTATATTATACCGAAACTGTTGCCAAGGCCAGAACCACAAAAGCCTAAAGACAATTTAAAACCTGAAGGGCCATTCGAAGGACGACCTAAAGATGATTATTCACCTAAACGCGGCGAACGTTATGAAGTGAAACGGCCAGAAGATAACTTACGTCCTGAAGGACCATTCGAGGGACGACCTAAAGATGATTATAAGCCTAAGCGCGGTGAACGGCCTGAAGTAAAACGGCCAGAAGATAACTTACGTCCTGAAGGACAATTCGAAGGACGACCTAGAGATGATTATCGGCCAACCAGAGGAGAAAGAGCTGACGTTAAAAGACCGCAGGATAATTTGAAACCAGAAGGACCGTTCCAAGGACGTCCTAAAGATGATTTTACTCCGAAGACAGCGGAACGTCCTGAAGTAAAGCGGCCGAAAGATAATCTACGACCTGAAGGTGATTTTGCAGATCGTCCAAAAGGTCAATATACCCCCGGCGAGAAACGCAGCCCAATCAGACATCCGGACAACTTGCATCCTGAAGGCGATTTTGAAAGACCTGTGCCGATACCTTACGGCCCTGGTGACAGAGCATCTATAGTTCGCCATCCAGATAATCTGTTTCCAATAGGAGAATTTCCAGATAGAGAAGTTGAACCATTCAGACCTGCCGAACGTAGAACGCCTATTAAACATGACGATAATCTTCGTCCAGAAGGTGATTTCACAGGAAGGCCTAAGGACGATTACAGACCAACCAAAGGAGAACGTGCCGATGTTAAACGCCCTGAAGACAACTTACGGCCAGGGGGCCCGTTCCAGGGACGTCCGAAAGATGATTACTCGCCGAAGCGTGCCGAACGTCCTGAAGTAAAACGCCCAGAAGACAATCTACGTCCCGAAGGTGACTTTGAAAGACCAGAGAAGGCACCTATTGGTCCAGCGGAAAGACGCACTCCAATTAAACATGCGGATAATCTCAGACCCGAAGGTGAATTTGTGCGACCTCGTCACGACGGTTATCGTCCGGCAGAAAAACCAGAAGTCAAAAAGCCGGTGGATAATTTGAGGCCCGAAGGTGAGTTTGAGAGACCACGTCCTGGAAAATACGCTCCGGCCGAAAAACGAACGCCGGTGAAACATCCAGACAATCTCAAGCCAGAAGGTGAATTTATTGGTAAACCTAAAGATGATTTCACGCCTACTAAAGGCATTCGCGCAGATGTTAAAAGACCAGAAGATAACTTGCGGCCAGAAGGACCTTTCGAAGGTCGACCAAAAGATGATTATCGACCGGTGCGTGGAGAACGTATGGACGTTGTTAAACGCACGGACAATTTGCGTATGGAAGGAGATATACAAACATATAGATCCAGAGACGAATATACCGATTTCTTAATACGTGAAAGAGCTGAAATTACTAAATATGAGGATAATTTACGTATGGAAGATGAATTCATTGATGTAAGAACACGAGATGATTTTAAAGTCGTTAAAGGCGAACGAATGGATGTCGTTAAACACCGCGACAATTTAAGACCAGAAGGTCCGTTCGAAGGCCGCCCGAAGGACGATTATTCGCCTAAAAAAGCAGAGAGGCCTGAAATTAAAAAACCGGAAGATAATTTGAGACCGGAAGGTGATTTTGTACGTTGGCCTAAGGAAGAAGCGCCTAAAACGGGTGAGAGAGCTCACGTGAAAAAACCGAGAGACAACTTACGACCGGAAGGTGATTTCGAAAGGCCAGAGAAAAAACCTATCGGTCCAGCTGAGAGGCGTACTCCGATTAAACACTCAGATAATCT